ACTCGTGGGAAGTGAGCATTTAACGTTCATTAACGTTAAGTACGTTACTTAACGTTATGGAAACAGAGTCGCGTGGCGCGATACACATTATCGTTTTGTAAGCATTGGTTATCGGAGAAAACTTAAGCCATCATATTGTATAAAAAAAATTGTTTACATCACTTTTGCACACCGCGATTACATCAATTTGAAGTTTACGTGATGACTATACAGCTAACAATAAGTCGCTAATTCGAAACTGCGTAAGTGAGCTTAAAATCTTACTTCAAAATCTTTCGATATATAGGTTATCTACTTTATCCAACTTCGTTTATACTTTTTATTTAAAAAATTAAAAAAAACATTTTGCTAATACATAACTTTACTTTTGCAGATTTATACTTTATCTGAAATTGATGAAAGGAAACAAAGTTAAAAGTGATTTTTCATTTTTTTTTAAATAACAAATACATGTAATATTGTAGGAAGATTTTTGAGACGTAATTAGTCCAATTAGTCACAAAAAATTCATGGATTTAGATTAGAAAATTTATAAAGGATCAGATCATACAAAGTATAACGTAATCCTAAGAGAATCCGAATAAATCCCACTTGTCATTCTCGGCGTTTTTAAAGCCCTTTTAATTTTTTATCAGTAATAAATATCCAAGTATTATTATTACAAGGTTTTACGATCTGTTTAATTTTTTATGTAAAAACAATGGCATTTTATCCTAAGCGATCAAAGAAGGGAAAAATTCGCGTTCGTCTGTTTCGCGATTTCCGCTTAGCGAGCGATCGGATCAGGAGGATCGCGTTCGAACATTGCGGACAGACGGCTGCGGTGTAGTAACGCATAAGCGACGGTGTAACGCAACAGATGCACGATATTTACATAATACGTCACTGTTTCTGCTGCCACACCCGCACGAACAGCCGCACGTGAATCTCTTTTTCTTCGCTTTTCCCTTGGCCATGTTCGCCGATACGTTTCTCCTCACTCGCTCTTTCTTTTCCTCTCTTGTAGAATTCGTTCCGACGAATCTCCCTAGTCTGGAGGAAGCGTTCCGTATCCTCTCGAGCGTCGTTAGCCCACTGATGCACTATCGCGACGAGCCATCCGATAGACCGTCCGGAAACTTTGCATGCAATTCGTGCAGCACTCGATACGCAGGTGGCATGGAATGAATAGAAATGCAGCGACCCGATATATTTTTAATTTTTTACAACAGGATTTTTTACCGCGCACCGACGAATTGTAAGGTGATAACCGGCAACGTGTCATATCGGTATTTGTCTTTTTTCTTTCATTTTTTTTCTAGGAAATCTATCGACGCGTTTTCGACTCGCTGTTTCGCTCCTTATCGCACGACGGCTGATCAGCCGTACGGCTTATCAACTCGTAGGCCGTGGCCTCACTTTGAATATCGCGCACTGGCACACGGTCGATGGGGCGATCAGTGGCTAAGCATCCACTCGATTAGATCCAATTCGTTTAATTATGTTAAGCACGCGGGCGCGTTGAATACTTCCTTTATTTTCGCGCGCGTGCTCGCGGCGCGGCGATGGCGTCGATGGGGGGGTCAGGAACAGCGACTGTTCAAGGAAGATTGATACAGGTTTGACCGGCAACTCGTTCGCTAGGAACGTGACCTCATTCTGTGAATCACCAATTTTATAATAGTAGCTGCCTTTGAGCTTTTCCCGCCAATTTATTTACCGCACTGGAGTAGCCGCCATCGGCATCGCGGCGCCTTTCTTTGCCGTTGAGAAAGATCGACGAGAACACGCGAGAGGAACGATTTATTTCACTAACGATTTATGTGATCAAATCGTAGCGGCACCAATTAGTAGATAAAGCCAATTTGTAACATATCATGATGACGTTACGTAGGTCAAAGTTCACCGTGCAAATGAAATTTGAAAGCTCTCGCTCAGTGCGAGATAAGACGGGATCGATAGAATTACTTATTGTCGTTTGGCACGACGCGCGACGGTCCTTTTTCGTTCGCGATACAACAAATTAATCAGTTGTATAAATTTAATTATGATAATCACAAATGACGATGCAGCTAGTTCGAGCATTTAGTGGGCGAAACAATCCATTTCTTCTATGGAACGAAGAATCGTTTCTTTCGGCAGTTTCCCAAGTTCGCCGGTATTATTTTCAGTCGATTACGATCGACTCCGTTCAAAATGCGCTCGATAGACGCGATATTGTTCACGCGGTAAGTACAAGCGTGGGCGTCGACGCGTGCGTGAGTGCGTTACAATTCACACGCTTTATTTATTCTCTGTTTCTTCTCTTAATCGACGGCCGCCGCGCGTGTAACGTTATATAAATACGAGATTATTTCAGTCTGGGATCCGTGTGTTTGGCTGCACGCCAAGCGGCAGGGGTTGGACTGACTGCACTAATAACGCGGTTGTGATACGCATGCCGTCGGTTGCATAACAGGTAGCTGAAGTGGAGGGCGGTATGGTGTGGTAGGTACAACTACAGTGATGGTGACGACGATGGCGACGTCGACGAGGACGACATCGAAGCGCGCCTCGGTCGGCTGGTAACGATCACGCAGCTCGTTATTATGTAAATTACATTAACGGTAGCCGCACGCCCTGTTCTTCGTTGCTTTTATAATGTACATAAAGTCTAATCCCAACCAAAGAACCAGATCCCCCCTGCACAGTTAAATTCATGTGCCTCTCTACTTCCGACGTAATTGCGAGCGATTTGGCGGGTTCACTTTTGACACGTGCAAGTGCATACTTGCGCGAAAAGCTAGAAAAATCCGGGAATAAGTCCGGAGATCATCAGATTGGCATAGATTAATTGAACATAAATTTCATGTGAACAAATGAGAAAATAATAAAAACGTATTAAATATGATATTCGCATAGAAAATTTTCTGAAATCTAAAATTCAGTTCGATTTAAAGATCATGTTTTCTAGTTGATTTTAATTCTCTATAATTTACAGAGAAATCTTTTAATTTCGCTAAACTGTTTCGAGCCTTGTATCTCAAAGTGTCTGTTGTAAATATTGACATTGCAAAAATTCGCATTTTTTATTATTCAGATTTTCTAAGGATGTCTTCTATAATTTTTTATTTGTGACAGTGAACATTCCAATACTCGTATTGTTTAACTCGTATTTTTTGAGATATTTATTCCAGTAAATAAGAGTAAAAGCAGTTCCTACGTTGTTTGTTGAAGCTGCCGAGGTAACGAAAGAATGTCATTCCATTTATCATACGCGGGATAGTAATCACATTGGTGACTGCATATTTCTTTTTGTGTAATAGTTATAAGATTGCATTGATTGCACCGAGAACGCAACACAACTGAAGCCACACGTGCCGATGTTTATGCGATCGTGAAGTATTCCATGGAAAAATTAAGTAACAATATCAGAAGAACTATTAAATATCACAGATATTCTGAACATGTCAAAAATTTAAGATTATCCACCTTTAAACGTTCCCCATTAATAAAAAGAACCTTAAGAAAATATGTACAATAAACAGTGCATTAGATGTGTTACAAATCCTTAACGTATTACAGCGATATCGTTACGATCGACTGAATCACGTGTGTATATGTATCAAGTTTCTCAGATTTTATATTAAAATAGTAAAATATAATTGTCATTAACGCTTTTCTCTTATAAAGAATTTTCAATAATAAAATAGTAAAATGTAATTTTATTAAACAATGTTTTCTCTTAATATTTATAATTAAAAATCACGATGTGTAACTTGGATATTTAGAATATAATTCGCACAGTGTAATTTCGTACATCATCGGACTGCTACTATCAAAAATAAAAGATTCAGGGGAGAAAAAGAGAGGATGATAGGAAGATGAATGCGAAAATAATAAATGTGTGACAAAAATAGCGGGCGAGGAACAGTTGTGTCTGTGCGTGTCTCTGTATGCAGATCTGATGTATGAAAGTTCGATTAGCTCGAAATGTACTCGTGAAAGAGTGGAACGTGATCCGAGATGCGGATGTACGAACGCTACCGGCGAAATAATAACGATGACGACGATGATCGATACTACGATGGTCGTATGTCGCTACGTCACGATGCTCTAATCGTCAAAAATAACGAAGCAGCTGCTCCCACATAGAAAACGTTCTACGATCTAATTGGAGTCCGATCTGATTTCTCAAAAGAATTATGGACTCCGTTTGGAAAATTTATGAAGATTCAGATCAGAAGCGTTATATTTTGCAAACGCGATCTTAAATTAAATAAAAAAAAAGAAAGTTTGAAAAAAGATCCCGCTTGCTCTTTCTCTAATGCTTTTTTAAAGCTTTTTTTAAAGATTTTTAAACAAAAATGCAATGTTATTATCTTAGAAAAATTTAAGAAAGAACATTGTCTTATCTTTATTATATTAATAAAAATGATTTAAAACTATTACTTCTGCTGCTTATTTAAAGCGGATCATAATTTTTATTTCTCTCTCTCAATTAATATTTTTTATAACTAGTATTATTTGAAGTACTAATAATAAATAATTAAATATAATTACAGTTAATATATTAACGTAACTTTCATTCTTAATTTTATTGAATTCGATATACTGTGATTATATAAAAATGCGACTTCTCCGCAAAAGTATATCGATTTTGCCCGTGAAAAAAGAGCCATTGAGTTGTTACAATTCTAGATAGAAAACCCATATTTAAGATAAAAATGAATCAATATAAATTCTCCAATTAATATTGCAATAAGTACCGGTGCATCTTTTTAGATTGAATTGGCGTGTAGGCATTCTGATCGGAATCTGTATCGGAAAAGATTTAGAGAAATTTCTATGCGAGATGTCGCATCAGCAAAAGAACGACAATTAACAATGACACATCTTCTTCAGGATTACGTCGTTCTGCGACAGTGCTAGCGTGTACATATATAATGTATTATCTACGTAATATTTTCCGCGGTAGCGTTCCGCGTTGGAACGCGTGAAGACAGAGAGAGTGTAACAGAAACAGAGTACAGACAACTTACGGGTATAGGTCATTTGGCCCTGGTAGTAAGAAGGAAGGTACACGTGTTGCGCGTGCGGAGGCTGCCCGTACACATTCATGGCTGCCGTGCCGATTTCATCACCACCTACATACATCGTACACGCCGTCGAGGTAAGGTCATGGTTTCATCAAAACGCTAATTTCGCACGATATACACTGTTTGTTTGTTCTTTTTTCTAAGTTTCGCTCTCTATCACTGGGTTGTTAAAAAAAAAAAAAACTAGCACCGAAGTTACGCAGGAGTCAAGAATGAGATGCACGCGTGACGCGGATTCTGACTTGTTCAATAAGCAGACAGAGAATCGCTAAATTACGAACTGACAGAACTATCTTTTATTTTTTGTTAGGCATACAAATACGTCTTATAATTCCGAGATGGGATGAGAATATTTAAGTCCCTACCGTCAGAAATAATTAAAACAACTAAATTTTTAATAGGAAATTTTTATACACATCTACAATCTCTGTATCAATATATACAATTATTAGATAAATAGATGATCCTTTAATTTAATGTATGATTTAATATATGATCTTTAATATCAAGTTGATCGTTAGTAGTCAACAATAATTGGACAATCTCGAATCCTGTTCTTATTGGAAATACTTGATTCGTATTTTATTCTTAAATATGCATGATCAGAATTTTACGATCATTTACTCTTTAGTTTCAATAAAAATGTAATGTACAACAACCCAGTGAATATTGGCTAAGTGCATGCTTTTGCAAAATAACATAAACGCAACAATCAAGCAAATGATTCCATTTAATATTTTGATATCCATTTGATAACTTTAATAGATAATTAAGAAACTGAATCTTTGACAGATAGAGCTAATTTTCTCTTCTTGAAATTTGAAATTCTATTTATCTCGACTATCTTGTATAGTTTATTATACCGTTGTGGTCATGTGGATCGGGAAAGGATATCAGTTTCTATTGGGTAGTCAACTTCAGTTTTATATGCTAATGGTGTTTTTGTGTCATGCACGCGGACATGCGACTGTTTTTAGAACTCTATTGCTAATTCATTACTTCTATCTAATCTTCACGTTACTTCGAATTGATTGAATATTTACCAGTCAATAGGCATACAAATACTTGTACTCCTACACTTTTTTATTTTTCGTAATTCTTTAATATTAAGTTTCCGTAATTCTGCTTCATGCAATGACTTATCATTAAAATTTTATCTTCTTGGCGTGCAAATACTGTATCTACTAAAAAGCTTCATCTTCGTAGTTTTAAAATTTATACATCTTATTTTACCTATATACAATATACTGCGATAATATATTGCGATAATGTGCTGCTTGCGCAATATTATATAGATATATTTAGAAAGATATAATTTCGCCTTAAGGACTAAAAAAAGTTTGTTAGATGTCGATTCTATGCGTATTATCAGCTTAAGCAAAAACATTGTGCTATCAATTTTACTTTCTCTCACATGTATCAGTTCTATTTTATGTCGATGCTAAAATCCGAATATGCAAGGCAAAATAATTATGCTAAGCGATAAGCTGTCCGAATATGTTTGTAAAATTTATTGCGATATCAGAAACAAGCTGTTTTTGAAACAATTGCAACATTATTAATATCTTATGCATACACGCTTGTTAAATTTTTCATAATAGTTTGTTTCGTTCTAATATCGCAAATCTTCATCAATAAATTATAAATGCAGCAAATAGAGATAGTAAGCAGCAAAAAGATATTAGTGATTAAATACGAGTACTTACCGCCCTCGTCTTCGCTGTCACTCATAAATGTCTCCTGCATGGATTCGGGTGCCTGAACTCTGTATTTCTCTTCAATAGTAACGGTATGAGTTGTTGTGATGATAGTCTCTGTGACAACTTTCAACGTTTCGATGACACTTATATAACCGAGCTTTTGTGCGATATCTAAAGCAGTTTGTCCGTTCTGTGAAAAAATAAATTACATTGAATATAATTATATTGTATTCTGATAACTTTCAACGAATTTCAATGTGAAAAACATAGAATAAAACTTACATTGGTTACAGCATTCGGTTTAGCTTTACTCTCCAACAACAAATTAATAACGAGCGTATGTCCTTGTTGCGCGGCTTGATGAAGAGGAGTATAACCAGCATTGGTGCTGCTGTCAACAGCAGCACCGGATCTTAAGAGAAATCGTACCATAGCTGCTTGACCAAAGTGAGACGCCACGTGCAATGGCGTATATCCAGCCTAGAGAAAATACGACAAGACATAAGACCTCTTTTTGTATTATTGGATGTAATGTTTATCGAATAATTAGGTTTAATTTTATATAATTTCACGAACTATTTTACTATTTAATCCAATGAATCTTATTTGTAACGAGATGCTTTAAGACCAACAGCAGTCACGCTACTACACTGTGTCATGGAGATAGGTGTTATTTCAAAGTTATCAATGGACAATATAGAGCAATGAACAATCACTTGTGAAGATTACGTCATCTACGATAATTTAATTAAAGCACTAACATACTGTAACTAAAAACACAATCGTAATCGCATTGATATTATCATGATCAGAACGAATACTTATTTTTGATTACGTGAATTACTTTGACATGTTTACATGTGTAATACAAGAAAGCTTATTAATTATGTTACCTTAGTTTTAGCGTCAATCTGAGCACCATTCTTGACAAGAATGGAAGCGACATTCACTTTATCTTCTTGTGCGCATAAATGTAGAGGCGTAAGGCCATTCTGTAAAGTGTAAAAATAAATATAACGTAAGATTTTATAAATAAAGTTAGTTGAAAATTACATCGTGTTCCTTTTTTATCTACCTTCGCTTTGTGATTTGTGTCTGCTTTATGCTCGATAAGAAGGGTTGACATATCAGTATGGCCTTCTTGTGCGCTCAAATGTAACGGTGTAAAACCCGCTTTTGATTCTGCATTAGCTTTCGCTCCGTATTCCAACAAAGTAGTAGCAATATCCATCTATTGAAAGCAAAAGTAATTTTATTTACTATCGTTCTTAATAATTACTGTTGTGTGATCGTACCTGATTTTTGCGTGCAGCGATATGCAATGGTGTATGGCCATTCTTAGCCATGGCATGTGGTGAAGCTCCTTTATCGAGTAAAAGTAAAGCCACGTTTTGATGATCGTAATGAGAGGCTACATGAAGAGGCGTTACTCCGTTCTGCATAGATCGACATATAAAATAATGCGGCATGATGCGTGCAAATTAATTAATTTTTTTACAATTAATTTAATCTTTAAATGCTAAATTTAAAAAGTGCTTACTTTTCCTTGAGCGTCAACAGGAGCATTCTTTTGCAGTAACAATCGAGCTACGTTCATATTGCCGTACTTGGCCGCTAAATGCAAGGGAGTAAATCCTTTCTTGGTCGTTGCGGTAAGTGAGGCGTTATTTTCTAATAAAACGGATGCAACCTGTGTGATCATAGAAACACGTTATGAAAGAAATCTATCTCTTATGTTATATATGTAATTTATTAACATTTTATACTCTTACCTCCTCCTGGCCTTCTTTAGCAGCGATATGAAGCGGTGTATACAAATCCTTCGTTGTAGCATCTACGCCCGCACCATGCTGCAGCAGTAACATCACAATATCGACGTTACCCAGACGGGAAGCGACGTGAAGCGGTGTCTGTTCCTCCTACGAACAATTCGCATTTCTTTATATCTGCTTTATTGTATAACAAATTCATCTTTAGCGATAAAAGCTACTCGTATTAATTATTATTAATCAAGCATGGTACTTACTCTTGCTCTAGCGTCGACTTGGGCGCCGTTTCTAAGAAGTATCCTAATAATATCAGTTTGGTTCGCCCTAGCAGCTAAGTGTAATGGCGTTTCGCCTCTCACTGTCGGTATATCAGGGCTAGCTTCATGTTGTAGTAAGTAAATCACGATATTCATACATCCCATAAAACTCGCTACGTGCAGTGGAGTTAATCCAGACTATGAAAAAAAATATATGACATTAGTAATTTTCATATATTTACAACTATACAGTCTCGTAAACATTGGGAGTAAGTACGTAATGTAATAAGTAAAGTTAAGAGAAATGTGAGAAGAACTTGAAAAAATGTTATACCTCAGTCGTAGCTTCGATGCTCGCTTTGTGCTTCAGGAGGAGTTCGACGACTTTTATACGATTTTTCTTGCATGCGATATGAAGAGGGGTAAATCCGTTGAGCGCTCGCGCATTAGGATCGGCATTTCTATCAAGAAGTAGTTTAGCTACGCGTACGTGGCCGCAGTGTGCAGCCACATGCAGCGCAGTCAAATAATCCACCGTCACTTCGTCCACGGGTGCACGGTGATACAATAAAATTCTCGCGGCGTCAACGTGATCCCCTTGAGAAGCCATGTGTAACGGGGCAAGACCATTCTGTCAACAAAAACCAAGTGGTAATTAATCTCGGCAAGAGGTTTTGCCGGTGAAACGCATGCGGTCGATTCATACCTTCGTTTTTGAGCCAATGGGTGCCCCCTTCTCGATGAGAATATCAACTACTTCGTGGTGGCCGGACCTGGCCGCGCAGTGCAGAGGAGTTAAACCATCTCTCGTTTTCGCTTCGATGTTTGCTCCCTTGCTCATGAGGAGATTAACCATTTTAATCTTACCCCATTTCGCCGCCACGTGCATTGGCGTGATATTGTGCTGAAATTGTAAAAAGAGTATATTTGAAGCAGTTCGATAATATTTTAATCCTTCTTCTTCTCTATAAAAGTTACGTACCTTTGCCGCGAAGTTAACATCCGCACCTTTGTCATAAAGCAAGGAAGCGATTCGGTCGTTGCCATAATGTGCGGCTATGTGAAGCGGAGTGAAACCGCTTTTCGATGTTACATCAGGATTATGGTCGTTCTAATGAGAGCAAAATTAAAGAGAGATTATACAAGAATTGATTTATATCTATCACTATTATCGTTTAAAATACAAGTCGTGACTGACAAAGCGTTACGATAACTCACTTGTAAAAGTAGGGCAGCCGCTTTGCAGTCGTCTTTCTTAGCAGCGATGTGTAGGGCAGGCAGTCGAACTTTACCACGGGTGTCATTTTCTAATAGAACGGCCACTACCTTGTCGTGACCCTGTTGCATAGCCACCGCCAATGGAGTGAAACCGTCCTGTACGAAGAGAAACGTGCATATTTAATAGTTGAAATAGATTATTAAATAATAATTTAATTTAAAAAATAAAATGAAGGTTTGTAAAAATAATAAATAGATATACGAGTATTTAAAAAGTTTGACAACAACTCGTTGATAAATGATGGAACAGCATTTCACACAAACCTCGGTGGCCAATGTTTGATTCGCACCCTTGCAGAGGAGGTACTTGACCACAGAGTCATGATTTTCCTGGGCAGCCATGTACAGCGGCGTGAACCCATTTTGCGATTGTGCATTCACAGAAGCACCTCGTTGTACTAACACTTGTACCACCTCCTCTTGTCCAGCTGAAAGAAAATATCGGTGTCACGCGAATTATTCGTCTCGCAGGGAGATCTCGCACTTTGCAATGCGAGATATCGCAAGCCTCAAGAGAAATAAATGTTTATTTAAAATCATTCGCGTCCTTGTCCTGTATGCATTTAACAAGCGACGAGATCCATACGAGTAAAGATAGGATGAGAGAAAGAAAAAGAGGCAGAAAGATGAGGACATGTGTGCACGCTTACCAAGAGAAGCTATGTGCAATGCCGTGTTTCCCTTTTTGGTAGCGGCGTCCACAATTGCACCGCGATTTAGGAGTTCTCTCACGATTTCCAAGTGGCCGTCCTTAGCTGCCAGGTGCAAAGCGTTTAAGCCATTCTGCAATATATAAAATTCATTCTCGTTAAGAAGCGATTCTTCTCAAGACTGAGATAATACACGCGCTACGTCAAAATCCGCGGGAAGCGACAGATCAATTTACTTACGGCGTTAGAAGCGTTAATATCTACTCCAGATTCCAAGTATTCCAAAACTTTCTCGAGTTGCCCAGCACGAGCTGCCCGTAAAAATGCAGTACTAGGATCACTCTGAAAAAAGATGAAATATGCTACTTAAAATTTGAAGATAAGTTATTCAAATAAAATAAGAAAGTTTCATGTTCCCCGCATTCGCATTTTTTTATTTTTTATATTCATATTTTTTTCTTCATTAAATCAAATAAATTTAAATACGCTTGTTAAATAAATAAATGTAAATATTACAGCCACATACAAATATCGAAGCAAACATTGGAATGATGCTCATTCAAGATTCTCTTGTGCAACTTTCTTTTTTTCCTCTCAAGAGTCAGATCCGACTATTTCATTTTATTTTCTTATTTTGAATAGAAAAAGTATTATATTTCAAAACTCATTTATCGATAAAATTTTACGTTTTCATTATATGTACTTGCAGAAGGAAACTCAAATTTTTTAAACGATCCTGCAAATATTATACTTTTAATTAGAATCTATATAGATTTTATAGAATTCATGACTTTTTTAGAAGAAAATTAAATTAGATTTTAATCAGATCCTAGAAATCTTTTTATGTAGTAAAATTTTTGTGTTATAAATAGCAGTGCCTAAGGGATTTGCAGCGAATCACAATTATCGCTTCTTCGGATATTCTTGGCATATTTCTGAGATGCGACATAATTAGTTCATTTACAGGAATGCAAGGACACGTAGGTGTAGAATTCTACACGCAAATGTATTTCTAGGAATTAACGACGTATAATCTGCTGCGAGAGAGAAGAGGAAAATAGAGATTATCCCACGTATACATGACGTCGAGCATGACGCATATAAAATGTCTCATTATCAGCTAAAAGTTTTTCAAGATCATATACAAACACGTTTCGGAAATGTATTCAAAATTCTTTTTCAACAACAGAATTGTTGGAAAAGATCTAATAAAAGTTAATTCAGATAATTGATTTCTAGAAGTGTATGTGTTTGATAAACAACTTTGTGTTTTCACAGAACAAAAAGATTTCAAATGATTACTACAATTGATATAACTAAATGTTTCGTCATTAAATCGCAAATTTTTCTTAATGACTTTACAATAATTTTTTATGTCTGTTCTTCTTTACTCATGTACTTAACAACTTTAATATATGTAAAAAATAATTATATCTCGTGTTTCGTGCATTTAAACATTCATTTTCGTTCCAATTTCTTGTCAATCGTATTCAATACGATCTCTCGACATTAATTCCGGAAAGTAGATGAGTCATGTTGACCGGCTTATTTTGGATCGCACAACGCGGGTAATTAACTGTAGATCTAGAACGCGTGAGGCGCCGCGCAGTCTGTAACAAAAGCTGACAGAAATCCGACCATCTTTGTCTGTTCCCACCCTTGAGTCGACCCCTTTTTCCTGTATTCGAACCCTCGTATTCCGAGTGGATATGTGTACCAGATATCCCCTACCCATATACAACTGATTCTACAGGATATTGCAGAGCCACCGGATGTCTCTTTTAACGGCAACCTCTTTTCAACTACTTTTGTAGTCATCATTTATTACCATTTCAATTCTATCGTACATATTTATAGTTACGTTTCAAATTAAAAGTCTACTTTGTTACTTATATCAATACGAGTCGCAACTGACTGAAGAATATAATGTTGTCATTAATCTTTCCGCTTCTAAAGTTTATACTTCGGAAGCCTCCTGTTTTTGTCTTTAATTGTTGAAAGATCGTGGGAGCTTAAAAATGCGTTGAGAAAAGACTCCAAATTGAGCAAAAAATTTACAATGAAAATAACGACGGTTTTAAAAACATCCTGTAGGTTGAAATATATCTAACAATCTGGCTCGCGCGGAATGAAAGCCAAGCCAAGCCTGAGTCAATGGACATGAAACAACCGCACATTCGGTTTACACAGAAGACAATAAATATCAGGATTGTTACACTCTCCAAGTAGAATGTCGCGTAAATATCCTTGGGTGATATGCAGAGACAGAAATTGCGACAATGTAACAAACACAAATATTTGTAGCATGTAGTTACAAAAGCCTCACAATAGAAGCCATAAAATGCAGAGGACAAGAGTAATCCGTTGAAGTTTCGAAATATACAGCTTTCTAATATATAGTCCAATCCTATTAATATTATCAAGGAATAATCTTGCATGTGCAAATATAATTCTCTCATGAAATAAAGGGATAAACACTTTATTATTTAATTAAAAAAGAAAATAGCTTTGAGCCAACATCAGATGATTCTTAACTTGCGTTAGAATTCAAAACAGAATTTTACTTTTAATTTTATGTATATCATATATTTTTATATATAGATATATATCTTTCTGATATTTATTTTACATACGTATGAATTCTGATTTTTCCAATGTTTCTCGTAATAAGGATTATCTAAAAGAAAGGATATCTAAAATTATAAATAAAACATCTCCCGAGTTATGCAGACGAGTAGACCTTTTCGTTTCGTGGCCGTAATTAACTGCGGAAACATACAATATCTTGAGTATCAGATTGTTGGCGATCGTTATATAAAATATTGCGTGCAGAAACGATGCAAACTGGACAGCTTTGTGAGCGCGGTGGGAGTTGTAACGGTGAATCTACTGCAGCGTACCGCGACCGTAGGTGGTTTTGCCGAGACGCAAACGTTTTGTCGTCATGCGCTCGAAGCATTCGCCTGACGATAAATCGATAGTCAGTTCTTCGCTACTTTTACGCTCATACACGACTTGTCTCATCGCTTTTTGCTAATGTCGAGTGCCATTTACATGGACCAATTACATGGGGAACAAAATATCATATTTTTTATCGTACATGTTGGGTTGTTCGGAAATCGTTGTCTGAAATATCAATAATTATTCAATTGAAGTCCATTTGATTTGTCAGTTTTCGTAATATGGGATGTACGTAAAAATGCAAAAATCCGATAATTTGGTGTTTTAAATATTTAAATGTTAAGAGGAGGAAACAGGAAAAGTGTACTTTTATTTACTAAAAAATTAAATTTGGAACAGTCTTATATTCTGTGCTTTATACTATGTTTTTTGTTATAACAAAATTTTATGAAAGTTATGACATCAATATTACATTTATTTGAAATTTGTATATTGTAAGCGGTGGGCAAGAAATTTACTGTCGTGAACACAACGTTGATCTAAGATTTTCAAGAGAACGAGGCGTAGAGACAGTATCGAGTTACGTCCGTTTAATTCCAGAGTATCTCATTTCGCTTACTCTACAAGAGCGATTTATTTGTCAAGCTTTGATACGTATGCCAGGCAGAAATTAGAGATGCAAATAAAGTTCGCATCGCAGCAGTCATTATCACTTCTAATCGCATTGTATAAAACTTGCTCGTGGTAATATATTCCGAATGCTTCGTTTTTATCTGCCAAACACAAAGCGAATCGACTGTTGGGATCTGACGTGTCGTATCGAATTGCTGGCGCGATATTTTTCTGAATGGTCAACAGATGCGATATCTCGTAAACAAATCCTTCGTTGTATTTATACACCACAAGACATATACTTGGTGCATGCTGAAAGAATGTTGAATGAATAAATGTGCAATACGTGTGACACCTCGTACGCTTAAAAAATTTGTCAAATTAAGGGTACAAATGTAGATCAGAGGAGCCTCCCCCCCAATGACCTTGACCTTGACATATGTTATCAAGATCTTGACTCCGAGTGACCTTGAGGAAGTTTTAACTGCAGGACGTTACTCGTTAAAAAGTTACAAACAAAAAAAGTTGATAATCATTATACCAAAATCAATTTAATATAATTAAATATTTGGTAATACTGAACATCACAAAAATTCTTCCACAATTATATCGACGACGAATGTTATTCGCGGAAGTTGCGCGTCCCTAGGTAGAGGAAGAGATGAGATGGAAGCCACCCTCTTCAATAAGAAAGAATAATAAAATGTAATCAACATATTTGCAAATAAATTTAATTATCATGTAATGGATATATACTCATAATATCGAAAAAAGCATGAAAGCTTTTCTCACGAAGCGATTCTCACCCCCTCCCCCCTGCAAAGGGGCGCACGACTCTCAACTCCGACTCACCCGAAGGTGAGAGTCGGAGGTGAGAGTCGTGCGCCCCTTTGTAGGGGGGAGAGGGGTGAGAGTCGGAGATGAGAGTCGCGCGCCCCTTTGCAGGGGGGAGGGATGGGGTGAGAATCAGAAGTGAGAGTCGTGCTCCACCTATTGCATCCACGCATATACTTTACAACGCTATATTACTGAAATATGTAGCTATGTGTTCGAAAATTACACACTATTCCTAAAAATTGTTTTGTTAATAACTTTTTAACGAGTAACGTCCTGCAGTTAAAACTTCCTCAAGGTCACTCGGGGTCATGACCTTGATAACATATGTCAAGGTCAAAGTCATTGGGGGGGGGCTCCCCTGATCTATATTTTTATCAAATTAAGATTGCAGAGAACGAGAAAATTAAAAAATGAGAAGAATAGTTTCTTTGAGTTTTACGTATTGAATTCTTCAAATAACGTGACTTAAAAAGAGGTATAAAAAAATAGAATATTAAAATTATTCAAAGTCTGCATTTGTAACGAAACATTGCGTCACTATTTTAAATATTTATGTTAAACGCATCTCATCAGTAATACTAATTTTCTTTATCGCCTATCTAACAAAAAAAAGACTATGTAATGTTTATAGGACGATAGTATCTATGTGCGCAATATACAAGTTAACGAATTTGTGACAACCTTATGTATTATACAATGGAGAAAGCCAGGCTATATTTGATCCTCGTTGGTACGCAGAAGCTGACGAATGTGTTCGCGGGTGCACGCCGGTGTTGCGTATGCAAGGGAATCTGCTTCACGCGGACTGCACAAGCACGTCTTAAATAATTCAGCAGACCGTTAGTTTCTCATGTAAAAGATATCCCCTTCCGCGTCCGTTTCTCTTCACTCTTTCTGTGATTTCTCACTTTCTTTTAAAACAGGGAAGAACTTCTAACTGTGTCAGTTTCCGTTGACGCAGGAAAATAAGGAAACGCTACAGGAGCAAAATT